CCCCCCCCACCTCCCCGGCTGGGGAGGGAATTTGAATTTCAGGGCTGGAGCTGAAGGACCAGCTGGGCCTTTCCTGGAGCCTTGGGCCTTTTTGAAGCCCTCTGGGTAGTTTTTCTATAAAAAGGTAACTCCCTGCTGCTGGTGGTGCTTTACTCTTGCCAGGCACCAGCTCATCTCCTGGGAGCTCTGAGAGGCTAGACCCCTTGTCTCCCCAGTGATAGCCCTTAAAGGGTAGAGCACCCAGCCTGTTGGGGGTGCAGCTAGGACCCCCGCCGGCCACCATCACGCCTCACAGATGCCCTTTGGTGGTGAAAGGATCTCAGCAGAGGTAAAAGTTCAGCAAAAATGAGGAAGGTTATCAAGACACTATGTGGAGTGTTAATGGGAAACCCGGGGCCCTGGGGTCAGCTAGTAGCCCATGTCATGTGGGAGGAAAGAACTCTGAGTGCCTCTTCCCCAGAGCTGTGTACACGGTGTGGGTGAACTGGGTGCCTGGTGCACCAGTCCCTCTAAGTTCACACTTGTGGGTGAGCAGGCCGGTTCCAGGTCCCCAGTGACAGGAACCTCTGATCAGAGCTGGAAGTTTCCTGCTGGAGAACCACACACCGGCCCCCCCACCCCCACTCCTTCCTGCCAGAGACTGCCCAGCTTGAGCCTGTACTGACACAGTGAAGGGTTTGTTGAGAAATGAGCTGCCCAAATCACTTATACAGCCTTGACTCCCTGCCTAGAGGGGAATGGGGGAGGTGGCGGACTGCTGAGGAAGGGCCCGGAAGAACCCAGAAAAACTGAAACTGAGTTCCTGCATGCAGTGGGTGCCAGAAGAGACAGCCCTGACTTGGTGACAGGCTATACCTATGTCCCTCTCAACACCTCTTCCTCACCCTCCAGCCACCCATTTTTCAGAGAAGAGGTGACTCTTCTTGCCTGGGCCTGTGAAGTTGGTAGAGGGAAGCCAGCCGTTGGGTGCCTGACCCAGGGTTCTCTGCCCAACACCCACACCAAGTTCCTTTTGGTACAGGCAGGGGTTTTCCCTGGGAACCTCTTCCCCCCAAACGGGCTATGAATGGAGAGGAGACCACAGGTGCAGGGCTCAGGAAAAAGGCCTTGGTAGATGGGAGCTGGGCCTGGGACAGACGCCTAACCAACACTGGGGAGGCACTGTCACCCAGGAAGACACACCCTGCATGCATAGGACTCTAGCTCCTCAGGGACCCAGGAGGGGGGCTGGCCCTGCAGAGACATCCAAGGAAACAGAATCCACAGATGTCCCACGCCGGGTAGGCCCTAGTGATGGGACACCCTGGAGACCTGGGCCCAGCCAGGAAGTCGGTTACTGGGAATCATTAAGCTTCCAAAGCTTGTCAATTAATTCTAATGTTTATATTGTTTTATATAGATAAAATTTAAGGAATGTTCAAGGTTACCCTAGAAGACAGCATTCTTGCTCGTCTATGTGCTAAAGTGCTCTGTGGAAGAAGCGAGAAAGAGCTGGCATCCCTGGGTATGTGCTCATGAGGGGATGACCCAACCAAAGGCTTCCCAGCAGACAATGTTCTGTTGGGGAGACCGAGACCCAGAGAGGGGAAGGGACTTGCCCAGCACGACGTGGTGATGGGGCTCACGGGCTGGACCACCACTCCATGGCCATCCATCCTCCTGGGGGCCTGCCAGCCAAGAGGGAAAAAGGGCTTTGGGGAGGGCAGGTGGCCAAGTCAGGCCTCGCCCTCCACCTCGTCCTCACTGGCGCAGTCCTCCGGCACCGCTGGGGCTTGTGAGTTCCGAGTCTCCAGGTACTCGGCCTTCAGCCGCTCCAGCTCACGCAGCTCAGGCTCCAGCCGCTCCCGGTGGGCCGTCCGCAGCTGCCGCAGCTGTTTCATAGGAAAAGGGTTCATGTCGTTGAAGGCGATGTTCATCAGCTTCCTGTGGGGGAGAGCACAGTCAGCCCAGAGCCCAGTGCCCCACTGGGCCTACATTCACCCGGCCTTCCCAGGCACCCTGGCATTCATTCTGTCCACGTGGCTGAGGCCCTGGCCCCTGCCTGCAGGGAGCTCACCTTCCAGGAAGGAAACAGTGAATAAGAAGCCAACTTCCACCCAGAGTGATGTGTACTGAGGCAGGAGAAAGCTTAGGACTATGGGAGCTCTAACCCAGTAAGGAAAGGTTGGTCAAGGAAGGCTTCTTGGAAGAGGTGACATGTGAGCTGAATTTTGAAGAATGAATAGAAGTTGGCCAGGCAAATGTGGTGGTGGTGTAGGTAGCAGGAAGGCATTCTAAGCAGAAGAAACTGCAAGACCAAAAAGCCCGGAGGTGGCTGTTGTCCTAGGAACTCAAATAATTCTGTTTGGCAGGATTGTAGGGCATGGCAAGTATTAGGGGCAGGAAAAGGTGGGAAGGAAGTGAAATTGCATGGAGGCTTTGAATGCCATGTTAAGGGGCAGACAGACCCCTGAGGCAGTGGAACGTCCCTAAAGATTTCCCCTAAAGATTTCTAAGCCGTAAGGGAGCATCAGCAGCCCTAACGAATCGGCACTCAGCAAACACCAGCATACCCTCTGCTACGTGTCCTGGGGGCATGTGAGGGTGGGAGGACTGCTGGACCGGCAGGGGTGGGGGCAGAAAAGGGTTCTCACTGGCTGTTGCAAATGGTCTTGGTGAAGAAGCGCAGGTACTGGTAGATCTCTAGGCCATCATGCAGCCTCAGGATCTCCTCCTCGTTGTACTTGAAAATGGCCAAGGCATAGCGGAATACCACCTGGGGGCAAAGCGGGGG